TTGCCCCATCTTTTTTTTTACAATAGCAGATTTATTTAATGCAGTTTTTAATCTTTGCCCATTATATTGCATGGTGACAGTCGACTCTGCTAAGGGACATCAGAGCAGTAGCCAGATGAAGCATATTAAAAGTATTTTGCTAAGGTAGCTAAGTCGGAACTAGTTGATCCATGACCATTACTTTTCTGTGTTTCAAACAGTCGTATATCAGCTGCTTAAATAGAAAATAAGTGTGTGTTTGATGTTCTGCAAGCAGACGCCTCAGCTGCAGGTATGGGTGGAGATAGGGTCGGCTAATTTGCATAATTACAGACCTGTGAATACCAAATGAGCCTGAGGTCTGAGAGTGTCAGTCATTTTAAGGCCATTGAGAGATTTTTTACAGAGTTTTATCAATGCAGGAGAGGAACTTGAGTATTAAAGATGTTGGGTCTCCATATATTTAGTGTCAATTTTTGCTGTGAAGTAACTTTCTACTGCTGTCCCCACAGGAGCGCCTAGAGAAGGAGAAGAAGCTGTCCAAAGACCTCGGCCAGGCGGCCACCAAGCTGCAGCAGCTTCTGAAAGCCACACAGGAGCAGCTGACCAAAGAGAGAGACACAGTGAAAACACTACAGGAGCACCTGGAGGGCAAGGTGACACAACTTATACCTGTTTTATAACAAAATGAGCAGGTATATGCAGGCCAGTAGAGGACTTTGGGCTTTACACTGGCAAGACTGCAACTACATATTTCTTGCTGAAATGATTTTAGCGTGCTTGTTTATTGACTCTGATCATTTTCTTTTCACTTTGAAGGGTGATTATGTGGAACTGAAGGAAGGAACGTCCGTCTGATAGAAGTATACTGCGGACACTACACAAAACTGCCAAATATGCCTTATGATTACCGTAGTTATGCATTCCGAAACCATTTCTTTCTTTTACTGTAGTTAATTGCATTTGTTGCAACTGTAGGAAATAATGTTTGATATAATATGAACTTTTCAAAGTAAGATTGGAGGAGGGAGTCCTGCTGCAGTCTTTCCTGAAACACACATTCCATCAACAATTCTGGCTATGTCAGAAGTTATTTATCCCCCTGCCTTATATTCCAAACATTTCCCCATAGTTCAGTGTTAAAAGGGAAACCGATTGTACGTCAAACGTACATCAACCTGTGCAATTACTTTGTATGTCTTTTCTATGTGGTTGAATGATGGGAACATTTTATGGTTCAGTAATGCAGTACCTTTTAGGGCCTGCTGTCCTCTGTAGCTGGCAGCCAATAACACATCAAATTTGTATGAATGAATAAACTACAGTGTCACCTGTCATTCCTTTCCTGTGTCTTTGTTGTAATGAATCCACAATGAGGCGTGACACAAATACCTGTTGCAAGATATAATTTGACATAGTTTGAGATCTGGTATGATCAGTAAATCTGAAAGTTCGTGCACCTCATGCTTGAAAGTTATGGGAAGGGTTGGTGAGTTGTGTCTGTATCTAAAATTTGTTAAAATCCTCATCACATCCTGATGTTCATCAACAAATAAAGTCAGTGTCTGTCCCTCACAGTACTGTAATGCACAGGCCACAATGGGTACGTTAAGTTTTTGGTGCTGTTGAAAAGACCATAACACTACTCGGCGAACAACCAAGCCAGTTTCTACAGTCATCACTGTCCATTTACTAAAGCAAACAGGGCTGTTGAACATGTTTTTTAACGTATTTTAAAAATGATTTACACCTGTATCATTGGAAAATAATCTTCAGTGTTGTATTTAATTGCAGCATTGTCCGTTCACTGCTTCCTCACTGGAACACGTCACGTGCATGTGTGCTTCCGCGTAGGCATAATTATTTTGGTGGCACTACTCTGTGTGTGGCAGGCTGCAGCCTTGTTTTCATTTTTAAATTCAAATGTCAGACTGTATATTCTTAAGAATTTAAAGTTCAATGCTCTTTGTAATTGTTATTATTGCCATGCTGTGATGTCATTATTTCAGTGATATGAAATGGTTTAAAAATGATGACAAACATTTCTCGGACAACATGACAGGTCTACCTTAATATTTCTAATAATGCACCAAGTTAAGAGGTTTCCTTGCACAGTTTACAGATTTAGTTCTCTGAGAATTTCTTTAATATCCGAGCAAAATTGTTATTGAACAATGAAATATTCTCAACTGAATCGATATTGAATCAAATCGAGAACTTGTTAATCGGAGTCAAATCAATTTGGGAAATCAGTGGTGATACCCAGCCCTCGTTGGACGGTGTAAGTCAGAAAGACGCTGTTCCCTGTGTCCATTCTGCATGCAGAGCATTTGTGCACTAATCATGTGGGACAGGGAAAGCATATTAGTATTCTTATTATAAAAGCTTGTTTTTGTTAAAAATTATATTGTTTCTTGTGGTGTTGTGTTAAATAGGTATCATTGCTGGTAGTTGTTTTATTTTTACTAGATAAATAGCTAGCAAGCACATCCACCTACAGTATTTAGCATTTGACATTTTGCTGTTAACTTTAACGTACCTGGTTAGATAGTGATACACTTAAAGTTGTCATACGCATTTAGGGGTTTACTGTCATATGCACAACAATTGCATTTAGCAGTTGCTGGCAATGAAATGCTTGAGTCCCAGGCTTCCATTTAGCCATGCTCAGAAATTACACAGGAACGAATAAAAATAGAATATAAAAAGAAATAGAATATATAAAATTAAAAAAGTAGTGCAAATATTATAAGGGTGCAGAGAGACGACTTATGGCAGATGGGAGGAGTTTAAAAGTCTAATGGCCTGGGGGATGAAACTGTCTCTTGAGTCTGGTGGGGGCCGAGGTGCTGCCAGAAGACAGCAGGCAGAACAGTTTATGGTTTGGATGATCTGGGTCTTGAATGATCCGGTTGCTCTTCTTCCTACACCTCTGGGTGTAGAGGTCCACCGTGGATGGCAGCTCTGTCCTGGTTAATGCGCTGAGCAGACTCTGAGACGGTTCAGGAGCAGCTGTCACACCAGGCGGTGATGCATCCAGTCAGGAGGCTCTGGTGAACCTGTGAACGTTGCACAGAATCGTGGGGTCCATGTTGAGCCTCTGCAGCGTGTTCCCACTATACATACACGTGCTCTCAAGATCGGTTTCCTTGGTTGCATTATCTATCGTGACAAGTTCTTTAAAACTCGGTGCATGCTCAACACTGAACAGAGGCGGACTAAACCATTAGGCAAAGGTCGGCAATTACATTGGGCCCCCGAACTACCAGGGGCCCCTATGAAGATTTAATTTGTTTTATTTATCATTTCTTTCTAAAAGTCCATACGCTAAAACGGCATCAGAATGCCTCTTATTCACAAGTCACTAGTGTCTCTGCAACCCCCCCTCTACAATGGACTATTCCATTGACGCGTCCACGGAAGTGATCCAGGGTGTAAACCATGACGTAAACAGAGACTGACGAGAAGTGTCGGGCCAGTTCACAAGGAAGAAGATCTAGTTCAGTTCATTCAGATGAAACTGAACTGGTTCACGTTCATTTGTTCCATTTTTTATTGGGATGATTTAGATGATGATCGTGTGTTTGGTTTTTAATCGATGGTGTCGGTTCATGACTCTGTGTCGCTCCAGTCACTTAATCACTGTGTCCTGTGCGTGTCGCCTCGTGTTGTACTGAGCACACACATTATGTGGATGACTCATTTTTCACGATGTGTAAATGCAGCCTCATAAACTCTGGAATCAAACAAACCAAGTTGCTTCCTGTACTGATCAGCTCCTGATAACTAGTGATGAGTGTTTATGAGTTGAAGTGAGAGCAGCTCAGAGTGGAGGAGGAAACTGAAACTCCAGCTCCTGCAAACACATTTCACTCGCTCCTGGCATTTCACATGATGGCCTTTACGAAGATGAATTAAAAAAGCCATGACAATAAAAATATTCAAGGGGGAGAAAGAAAAAGACACAAGGACAAAGAGAAATGGTTATCATTTTTAAAAGTATATTTTGTTATTATTTCTGTAACTCCATAATTTACCTCCTGTGTGTTATCTTCTCACTTAATTAAAACAAGATATAAGACAGAGGCCTCTCATCAACTTAATCAGAGATCCTGCTGAACACCAAGGTAAAAGATCAGTGACGCAGCCCTCAGGTGGACACATACCTGGCTGAGGCAGACACAATGGCCAGAAGCTATGGACAAGTCGTCTTTATGTGTTTTGGGGCTGGGATGCCTGCTCTTTCCAGGATTACCAGTACTGGCTTTAACACAGTTAGTTTACGAAGGCCGTTTGAAAACTAAAACAACCCTCCCAGGATTACAAAAAAAAGTTGTTGAAACGTGTTTCGCCTGAACCGCAATTCACGGTGGTCACTTCCAAACTGAGCATGACTAAGCATGTGGAGCTATTGTAAGCAGGAGTTACAGGTGGTGTGACTGTGCAGGTCTGAAGGGGGGAGGTGCTGTGTCCATGCAGATGTGAATGTGGCATCCAGGACATTCTGAAGGTAATTTCTTCAACAGTCATGTGAAAGTAGATATAATTTAAAAAAAAACAAATGACCCAAGCTAAGCAGCAGCTGTCTTCAGCTACTTATTTAACAATATTTATAGTTCTATGATAGGCTATACCTATTCCCCCCTCTTCAGCCAGAGCCAGCAGGAAGACCTCTATGCAGCTTCTGAAAACTTTCTGATGACTCTCCTCCTTTGCGGCACACAGATACCGAGGAGCCTCAGGACCAGATGTCGCTGAGCCTGGCCTACAAAGACCAGACGCCCCACTTCCCCCGGCTCACAGCAAGCTTTCCATCTGTTTCTCCAGCACTTAGCTACCAGGTAAGCATTTTTTGCTCGGTTTGTTTCCTTAACTTCCCCAAACTGGTCTTCCCACGGGACAGTCAACTGAAGCAACTTGCCTTGTTCAACCGCACTTCAGGACCATGTCTGAGATAAATACCCTACAGTACATGAGCTGCCAATCCCTCACTGCATTCACAAACACACACATTGAGGACACTTGTTTGCATAATGCATACCCTTTCCCTATATAACCATCAAAACAAAATGTCCTACCCTAAAGCTAATTCTAACCCAAAAAGTAAGTCTTAACCCTCAAAACAGCCCCTTGAAAAAATGAGGACTGGTCACAATGTTCTCATTTCTACACAACTACCTACACACACTTGATTTAAACCTATAGTTACAATTTAAAACCTACAATCCAGCGTTATTTGGCTTACCCAAACACCAAAAGGCCCAAGGTTTTGTAAATGGCGGCAGAATCGTTATTCTATACAACAGAGTGCTAAGACCCTCCCCCTGCAGCCATCTGTTAATTACAGGCCCCATTTTCAACCGATAACCAGGCACAAATTGTAATTGTAATGAAAATGGCTGACTTGCAAAAACAATCTCAGGACTGATCAAAGGGCAGAATACCAGGAACACTGTCAATCATGAAATCATCACGTAAAAAACACCACACGCTCAATTGATTGCATCGAATTTATTTAGCAATACTCAATACACTGACTGCTGCATTTTCATAGAAATTATTTTTGTTTGTAAAAAGTCATACTATTTTGTATCCAGTAAAGTGTAACAGTCTAGAAAAAAAGATTTATATCAAAGTTCCAGCCTGGCTATTTTGACCTGTAAACTAATTTTGGATGTGCAAGATATAGATGTATGCAGAGAACAAATTATTAACCAACACCAAAAGCAATGCAGATGGAATGGGCAGGGTTGTAACAGCCATCACATGCAATTGTTGCAAAGAGTCAAGTGACAGACAATAGTATCAATGTATGAATATGTCCAATCATTAATAAAATTATATGTCAACAAGACTGATTAAGCCAAGCTGGTGTAACTAGAAAATGTAGTAGAGTCCAGACATCAGATTGTGAAACAGGTAACAGGTAATCCTATGCAGAGCCCAACCCTCCCCTTTAAACTGTGTTGACCTAATCCTTAAAACAGAGGTTAATTTAGAAGCCCTGGTGTCCTCATCTCAAATCCCCTTTAATGGTCCTCTTTTGCTTTGTTTATTTCTTTCTGCTTCCAAAAGTGTTGCCCTCAATCCCCAAGACATTTTTCCCCAGACTGCTTGCAAAGTCCTCCATCTCGGCATCTGATCGGTCATTGATCTCCAACTCGTGCTTGATACCTGTGGAGGACACGAACAGAGTGTTTCACACAAAGACCCCAATGCAACATGCGCTCTGAGCTTCTACCAGAATCAGTGTTTCTTTAAAAAATTTATTTGGATTTGACAAAATAGAAGAAGTGAAAAACATGTACCTGCCACAGCGGCCTTAATGTATTGCTTTGAGCTGGCGTAAAGCATTTTTTCTTTGCAGGTTGATGTATCAGGAGTCCTGATCAGAAAAGAAATCATCATTGACATAATTATTCACATACACAAACAAGAATGTGTCACCTCAGTATAAAATAAGACAGTGGCATGGAAAGGTTTGGTTGAAATGTCTGTTTCTCTCGAGGATGGGAAAACCAAGAAAGGTTTCTGAGTGACATGCTAGAGGAAATCAGACCCTGTGTTTGACTGCAGAAGACCTTCAGGAGGATTCAGCAGAGTGGAGTGGTGGTGCACTGTTCTACTGCGCAGCCACACCTACACAAATACAACCTACATGGGGAGGTATCAGGAGAAAGCATTTCCTGCATCATCACTAACACCTAAACAAGGCAACCTAAATGCCATCGAAAATCTACAGTTAGACCTCAAGAGAGCAGTGCATGCAAGAAGGACCAAGAGTCTCACTAAACCAGTTATTGTGAAACTGTGAAATAAAAAAAAACAATCTTGCTTATGAAATTAAAGAAATTAGGGCCAGTTCTTATTCATTTACTTGACACTTGCCATGCCACTGTATATTGCTTGTTGACTCAATAGTCTACTACAGGTTAAGGATGCATTTGAAGACAATAATTTAACAATAGTTTCTTATGCTTCTATTGCAGTACCAGGACCTACCACATCACAAATACGAGTTCTTCTTTGGGTGAGTCCTTGGTTTCATAGTGGCAGTCGTATAAGAGGTAGCAGCAATGTTCCGAGTCCATCTGCTCCAGGAAAAGCTTGTATACATTCTTCTTTTCAAGCACATCTTTTTCCCTGAAAATTTTGCTCGGTTGGATCTGGTCGTCTTTGATCTCAAACACTACCAATCTGATGCGTTCCATGCTATTGGAGTCATTTTTCACCAGTCTCATCTCATTGTAGACATCTGTCACTTGATCAGAAATCTTTACCCCAGACGCCTGTTGAGAAAAACACAAAACATTAAAAGTCAGCATATAAATAACTAAATAAAGACAATCAAAACTGCTGTCTTGGCTTGATTTGTCGATATTTTACTAGATGTAAAAAATCTATAATGATTGACATACTAATGCTTAAAGACAAATGCAGCTATATTTGTAATGTGTAACAATGTCTTAAAGGTGCAAATGGTTCAATGTCATTCATTTTATTCAAAAAAGTTCTGTTTCCTTAACATTTTGAGTATGGGATTACGTAAATTCAACAAACAAACAATTATCATTTCTCAGTTAAGTGTATGAATTAAAGCTCAAAGAAGAAAAACCTATCACAGTACAAACTATCACAGTGGGAGGATTGGCTCATATTCGAGCAGATGTGCACTTGTACTGGTTTGGAGACAGGAAGCAGAAGTGAAAAATTTAGAAACAGGAAGTTCTTTGAAACTAGACTTTGTAGAAAAGTGTTCATGGCATTTAGACAATATATAAATATTGTGTCAGCTTTATCGTGTCAGCTCTCTCTCAGTTACGTGCCATGAGCTTAGCTTCCCTCTGCATCTATAAGGCCTCGGCTCTGTCACATTCCAGTCATTGCGGAACAAGTTAGTACAAGAAAGACCGCCCCGGAGGATTCTCTCAGAACAAGTTTCAAGCACAAACAAAGCTCCCTCCATTTTGTAGGCAAAACCACACCTTGAGCAAGTCGAACACCAAACTCTCTGTTCACTTGCAAAGCTTATTTCCCCCCTCAAATAACATCAGATGTAAATCTTATACTCTAGACAGTGTCTAAGTGAATCATTTCATTTTAAGATTTCATGAAAAAGAAGATATAGCATATCAGAGTGTCACCTCTACATTACATATCCAGTGGTACACACTCATCACAGAGAAAGTTATTTACTGACACAGTGAAAGTCAGTCCAGTGAAATGCTTTGAGGAAGCTACTCACCATTTTGCTTCAGATGTGTGAAGGAGCAGGCAGCAGAGAAAAATGGCAGCAGCAGCCTCAATGCAGAAGGGTCATAAGGAAAGAGAGCAGGTTGACTCATGGGGGAGGGGCTGTTGTAAATGAGCACACCTCCAAAAGTTGTCCCACCCTCTTCCCAGGTGTGATAGCTTCAGCTGCCTGCAACCTCAGCAAACTCTGTGCATTTATTCTCATTACAATCACCATTGGCATGTTAAATCACAGTGAATATATATGTGCGCCACTGCCTGGTACAGGGCGAGCATTTTTTTTTTGTCAGCGTTACCATTTGCTTGAGTTCAGTATTGTGGATGGCTTCCTTTTGAGGTCAAAAAAAGCCCAGGTGAGCTTGAGCCAGTCATGGGTGGGTGTGGCACATGACACCCTTATATGGAGAACAAACCTGTCCACATTTTTAACTCATCTGCCTGTGGGACGCAGCTCAGTGGCCTTATAAGGTAAAGGGTAAGATGAGTGTGCAGATGTGCCAAAAAGATTAAACTGCCATACCTGTAGGAAGAGAGATGTGTCGTATCCATCAGATTCCAATAGTCAGTAGTCAGTTCAAAAACATAACTGGTTACAATCCAGTTATACATGAACAAACATATTTATTACCAAACAGCATAAATTGTTTTAATAGTAAAATTCAACTTGCTAACTCAGTTTCTCTCGTCATGTTCACCATGTCTTTTCCGATGGTTGAAAGTATGTTTTGGCTGAGTCATGTATATTTCACTCCATTCGTTAGTTACTTAGAATATTAATTATACCAAAAACAACATTAAGTAGAGCCTCTCAACTGTGTTGTGAAATATCTGAATTACACCAACTGCCAGTGACAAAATCAGTAACTTCCTGTGTGAACATCTGTCCTCGATTATTGGAAAATGAGAGAATAGCATTCTTTATCTTTTTTTTAGATTATACAAATAATTAAGGTATCCTTGTTGTAGAACTGAGTACATAATAAACTCCACCTCGACAGTGAGTATTTTTGAATACAGATACTGTGCTTCAGCATCACAGTAGCTTTGCTTCCTGTGAAGATTAGTGGTTTACAGAGTCAGGCCCATCCCACATCCTGTTCCAAAAAACAGGGTGCCTAAATGTCAGCACGTCATAACTCACACTGGCTGACACTTGCACTGCAAGTGTCGAAACCAGTTATTTGTGAAGAAAAAGAGACATTATCATATATATCAATCCGTTCAGCAAAAGTATACTAGAGTTATCCGCTTAAAGCTCTCATTTTGTAGCTTGAGGGTTGTTTATTATCACATCTGTGGTAAGGCCTGCCCTGCCAGACCTAATGGCAGCCAACACAAAGTTTTCAGAGTTATAAAAGAAACACAATCCTGAAGCACACAGGGCAGGAAATGGCTGCTGCATTGCTCTGTTTGAGTGAAAAAGTGCATGCTGCTGCAAGCACACAGCAAGTCCGGCCACAACCCATTCAGTGACGACAAAGAAGCACACCTCTACTTTATGAGCACTCTGACATCTGCTGGTGGATCTCTGAACCACTAAATACATTATACTGAAGTATAATAATAACTAGTAACTCAGTAGAGTACATACCTCAACCTAGGCCATCCTTATGCTAAGGCCACATTACATTTCTCAGCTACATTCACACCAAATTGCACACACTCAACTATACCAACCTCCTAAATATTTCTGTTTTCTCATTTCTTCATCAAGATCTACACATAATTATTTGAGATATCAAAGAAAAATTGAAACAATCACAATTGAAAAAAAATAAATATTCCTGTATCCTTTATAGTTTATGACTAATCCTGCAAATTAACAGACCTCCCTGGCCAAGGTAATAATAATAATGATAACAGCAACAACAACAATAATAATAATACCATCCTCATAATAATAATAAGCAGCAGAAGAAGATATATGTGATCTAGAATTTGTAAAAGCATAGGAAAACATGTGTAAAGTCAAACTGACTCTAAAACAGTTGAAAGCTTTTCAGGAAAGTGTTCATTTTTAAATTCTGTTTCCCCTGTTTATGAACGAAACAGCCTCAATTAAACAAAAACCAACCCAAGCGGAATTTCAATAAAGAACCTCTGAAGATGAAAATGTTCTTTCTTGAAATGGCTCCTATGTCCTTTAATTATTTAAAAGATTTTTATAAATAAGAAAAACAAGAATTGAGTTTGAGATTTTAATAGTGTCAGGGTGTGTATGAAGAGGGCCTGCTACATGCTGAGTCATTCGTTTTTTTATATAAGGCTTTAGAAACCTACACAAGTGTTGTGACTCATAAGTTAAAATTAGATTGTTCGTAAGACCATGTTTAGTTGTAAGACACTCTCCTCACAGATGTGGGTTGGTCTGCAAAAAGTAACTCTACTCAAAATGTTGAATGAAGAAAACCATTGTTGTTCTCACCTCGGTTCAAGTTTCATGCCTGTTGGACTATCGTTGGGTGTAGACAGATATGTTTTCAAAGGTCACTAATCTGGCACTCAAAAGAAAAAAAATATACAATAGATGATATGCTATTTTTTTAATTAATAGCCATTGATTGGTTTGTTGGGTTTAGAGTAATTTGGCAGTCTGGAAACATATCAGCAGAATCCAGATAATATGGTGATTTATCATGAAGTAGACTTTTTCACTATTAAGAACCTTCTTTCAGATGAAAGGGAAGAGATGCCACACAGATCTGTGATGTGTGACAGAATTTCTGTATAATTTCTTATATTGCATTCTTGCAAAAAAAAGGAGTTCAACTGTTTCTCGCCTTGAGTTGACTAATAAGACTGTTACCACTTTAATTGCTGTACTTAGATATGAAACTACCACAGGCAGTTAGTTTCCTTTTCCTGACATTAAGAGAAACAAAGATCAGGGGAAACAGTAGCTTGGCTCTTATCTAAATGCAAACAATCCTTCCACCATTACCTCTGAAGCTGAATCCCATTGTTATCTCAGTAGTTTGATCTCTGCAAAAGATACGTGAACAACTGGCGTTTGACAAATGAGATACAGAGAGTTGCTTGGTGAGCTCGAGAGGTGCTAGGAGGATTTTAGTAGCTGTTGGTAACTTCCTATGCGTTCATGCTAAGCTAATCGGCTGCTGGCTGTTGCTTCATATTTACCATACTGGTTTGAGATTGGTATCAATCTGCAGGAAAATCAGTTATTAGGTTTCACAAAATGTCCAACAAAGTGATTTAGTTACTTCTTGAAAGAACAGCACATACAAACTGTGTAAATATATCTTTTTTATTGAATACTAATCAAACACATTATTATTTGACTGTGGCATTATTTTGTTTATGGATACTCAGGCCATCGGCAATAGTTTTCACTCAAATATAAAGTCCATTCATTGCAAAAGACATTCACCAGAAAACCTGCAGCAAATACACAGATATGATGATTCATCAGCACAAAAGTGGATTCTTCAACTGTAAACAGTCAGGGCTCCTCTACAACATCACCAGATTCATCCACTGTGGAGGAAACTCACAGTCACTCTGCAGTTCATAAACCATTGTTTATGTTCTTGTTTCATGATCACAAACGGGCTCTTACCTCAAGAAAACCCAGCTCTACATGACCTGACCCGTCCTTATCCAGGGTCTTGAAGGTCTCTGGTGTTAAAGAAAATTCAACATCAGAATTTAGTTATCATGACATTTGGTTGTGGCAGACAAAATTAACAAAACGCTGGCGAGGACAAAAACTCACTGAAGAGCGACTCCAAGCGAATCAGGCAGCAGACAAAATTGTCAAAGTCGATGGAGTGGTCTGCATCACTGTAACGGGCCACAATAATCTGATGCAGAGGGTTGTTGAGAGAGAATCCTGTCCAAATTGGAGAGAAAGTATAGAAATTCACCCATCAGACCATATCATGCAAATCTCACCACTGTCCTCTCTGGATGTACAGTGTAAATAATAAAAAAAAAATCAGCATCACAGATTTCTCACCTGCTTCATCAACAGCCACCCGCATCTCAGAGGAACTCATACAGCCACTTTGGTCTACGTCTTTGCCTTTGTAAAGATCCTAATAGAGAACTCAGTGCATTAATATGTGCCAGTACCATTCTACTCATGTATGTATGTTACACATTGTATGTTAATGTCAATATAAACAGATAGGGAACACACCAGGAATTTCTCAATCTTTGACCATAGGATCTTAAATTCTACCAATCCTAGCTTGCCGCTTCCATCTTTCTTTGAGGACAATGTTAAGGACAATTGTGACAACCCTAAACCCCACACAGAGTCATGTGCGGCAGGCTCTGGGCCTCTAACACATGTACATTTGTTAGTGTTGATTTTTCAGGAAACACTTGAATTTTCATTGTTATGCAGAAGATGCACAGTTATATTATCTATGAAACCAAAAGAAACTAATCAGCTAAACTTCAAGCAGGTTTTAAACCTGGATGACCAAAAGCTTTTCTCTTAATATTAATTGAGCTTCTAAAACTTCAGAGATACATGATCTAATGATATAGCCACTTGCCTTTGCCTCCAGTGAAACTATCAGAAATCTTTGTTCCAGATTTATCCTTGGATTAATATTTAAAATTAATTTAAAAAACATTCAAGGACTTATTTCACCTACATAACAAGAAATCAGGCACGTCCTGTAATGTACCTCCTTATTATCAGGCTGCACCAGTAAGTCTTTAAAGACTTTGCAGCTTGTCCAAACTGCTGCAGCACATGTACTGACAAGAACCAGGTAGAGACCACATTTTTCACATGTTTTCTGTCATGCTGACTTAGTGTGAATAAATCAAATCAAATAACTTGATTTATTTGATTAAAGTTAACTTATGCATAAATATAAATACGTATATACATTAAACATTAAATACATATTAAACATACAAGTTTTACTTTATTATCTAATGTGACCCTTAACTTGAACTTAATCAAATCAAATCAAAATACATAAAGTAAGGATTGTAGGCATTTTTTGTAGTAGTACCATATCACCACACAGCTGCACTCTTCCCCTCATTTTCAGTGTTTTCAGTTACGCAGTAGTGACATAAACCTTCTCTCCTGACTGTCACAATGAAAAACAAATTGTGCATTTCCCAAAAGGCAAACACTGAAAATTGGGCAAAACGTGATGCTAAGAGGTTCAAGATTTTGCATATTTCTTCCGACATACAGTAACTCAGAACAGGATACATCCAGCAGGTTGACCATGTTGCGGCAAGTTGTCAGACTGAATCCATCGGTTTTGATGTCATCTCCTGAGAATGAATAAAACACAGGCATACATTGCTTTACAGTGTGAGGTGCACATTAATGAAGGGAAAACGTTCTGTATGTCTAGTTCTCGCTCAATCTCCCCACCTCTTCTAATGAGCTCACTGCTCAATGGTTGTTCATGGTAATCTAATCAGATTTTGCCATGATCTCATACAGAAAATCATGTTGTTGCAGTCAAACTATAAATCTCTTCTCCTGTCTGTCGCCATCAGCTGTCATTTCAGTGATTTTCTGTGAACCTCCTCCTCCAGACTCCATTGTCTTCATATCCAGATCCCTAGTTGAGCCCAGCTAGACCCCTGTGGGTTCCCTATACTGTGCAGCCACACCCCATCACATTGAATTCTCTCCTCACGGAAATAGCTGAAAGATGAGAAACAAATCACACACTTACTCCTCATCACCACTCTGTTGAGGATTTTCTGCAGCTCGAACACAGAAATCTCCACATCCTAAGAATCACATGACAAAGACTGTAAAGTACAGGAACATTGACTGAAAACCTACACGATGAAATATTTAAAATATTGAGTTTGCTCACGTGTCCGGCAAGCTGACCAAACAGTTTCTTGAAATGGTCACTGATGTCATCTTCATCAACATTAATCTATAGTTGACAAAATAAAAATGATTTTCCCTTTGTAAAATATTAATATCAATATTATTCTTCCAAAGAATAAATCAAGAGATATGATTTACCTCCTGAACATGGCAGTCCACAGGATCGTCAATCTCCCTGAAAGCCGAAAGTCACATATGATCATTTTGAACGCTGTGATTATGAATTACAATCTCTTCGTCCTCACGAAACAGCTTTTCTTAATGAATTGAGCGTACTGGAAATCAGCCTGTTTCTCAGAGAACACTCGCACATAGAAGTCTCCATTCTTGTTGGGCTCGAAGGTGGAGGGGATGATGAGGTACTCTCCAGGGGGAAGACTGAAGCGGCTGCACACTTCCCGCAGGTTGATGAAGGTCTCAGAGCGCGCTGCTGAGGCATTGTACTTGAAGAAGTTCTTCTTCAGATGCACCTGCCTTTTGCCATAGTACTGGAAAAAGACACACATGCAGTTTGGTCACATGAGGGCACTGCTGACACACCATCCATTGGACCTCCTTGTTTTTCTATTTTTAATTAAACACTAATGAAACAGTTGCTTTGGATGCTCATTCTTCATGAAAAATGATGGCTCCCAGCAACAAGTTCATTTAGTTTCTTCATCTTTGCTTACGTACCTCCTCAGGCAGCTAGAAAAAGACAAAAACAAATCAAATGTAAGAACATGAGAGAAGTGTCTACTGACAAATGTCGTCACTGAAAGTGTATTTCAAACAGCTCCTCACCTCGTAGATGGCAAAACCAATGGTCTCCATGTCTTCCCCCATTTTTCTCCTACTACGCTTGTTCTTCTGCATCAAGCCCACGATGAAGGTGCAACCCTCCTCGCCATCATCAGGGTCATCATCCACCTCATCCAGCTTTATGACACACTGAGGATTCATCCAGAAGGAATCTAGGAAGGGAAGCAAGGGTTAGTTGGGTGTTTGTGTTTGTTTACGACACATATAAACTAGTGATGGGTTCAAATCTGGAGCTGCAATTATGCAAAAATTATGAAACTGGTTGTACTTGGATAGTTTCTGCAGCCACCAGCTGACACGTCCATCCTCCATGTGTCTTCAAACTCGGACTCTGCCCATTTCTTGTAGTCGTCTGTGAGGACATCAGGGGTGAGGTTGCATATTTCAAGGCGAGAATATTGGCGCAGAAAGTCAGGAAATGACATCCTGTAGAAAAGGCGGTACAAGGAAAATGGAAAAAAACAATCACATCCTTTACTTTTTCCTCCTTTTGTGTCATTAGAGCTTGTTATTTGTTGTCCAGACAATATATATGTTTGCTGTATGGAGACTGTTGAAGTTCCTTCAGCGAGATTTACCAGAATTCCCCATCCTCACAATGGTTGGTCAGCCTCTTCCGATCCTCATCACTCACATATCTCCAATTGCGAGAGCTAGAATTAGAGTGTGAGCAAGTTGAATAGTGTTTTGCACAAATAACCAGCCTCATGAAGTGAACGCCACACAACTCCTCCACCCTTTTACCAGCCACTGGGTGTGTACACATTTCTCTGTGGGTTACATGCATGAAAGAAGAGGACACACTTAACACCCTCATAACAACAAAGGATGAGTCAATAAGGCTGGGTCCTCTTACAGGCATGAATCACCAAGGCCAGGGAGACAGTGCCAATTATTTGGAATAGGCCCATTCATAAAATACATTAAAAATTCAATTCAAGTTTAATTATTAATCTTATCACAGTTCCACAGCTCAGTCTAAAATGGAGCTGAAACACATTCTTGACATGATAAATGTTTTTTCATCATATTCATCATATTCAGAGTGGATAGTCAAAGTACTCATGTGTCTACATCCATCGGGGCTGTGAGGCACAGTGCTAATGTTAGGGATGCTAACATGCTGATGTTTAACAGGAATAATGGACTGTATATCAAAATTAACATCACTGCTCCCTGAAAGTGAAGCTAAAGCACCTTGAATGCCCCCTGGTGGCAGGCAGAAGTATAGGTTACAAATCCTGCCCCCTCCATGTTAGTGGATTGGATATGGGCCAAACTAAAAAGTCAAAGTGCACATCAAACACATTTTCTTCAAAGATGGCTTCTGTCATTTACAGCAGTTCCTTGCACACAGATGTTTGTTCAAGTACGTGTGGTTTCAATTAGGCAATTGATTGGATGAAATGTCATGATTAAGAGCTGAGACTGACTCGCGATTGGTCAAGCACGTGTATTAGTGGCACTTCGCCTCCCTGGCTCCATCTCAAGATTTCTACTGTCCAGACTGTCTCCAAACAATGTCATTGGTGCAAGATGGCAGCCTTTGTATCAAGGATATTTTGGCTTTATTTTTGGATGATGGGAGGAGATGGAGATATATAAAGTCTATAAAGTCTATGGTTAACCAATGGCAGATGGGATTGTAAATAGTTTTGCAGGCATCTGGTCCTAAATCAAAGTATTGGACTAAATTAAATGTTTAACCTGATGAGGACACAGAGTGAAAGGCTAAGGATTACCAGAGTTGTTATTAATAATCCTATAGGGGGAACATGAGTGTCAGTTCCATAATTATTAGGATTTTTAATTCATTCTGCTAATCTGGCATTAGAAGAAGTCGGGGATCACAATAATCATTATCTAGGAACCATGAGTGTGCCTGTGCCTGTGATTTCCTGCCCATAAAACCCCTACATGTACACAACACTCACTTGTCACTCCAGTCTCCATTCCACTCAACCTGACCCCATGGGTTTCTAATCCTGACCAACTGCACCACGTCACCGTTGTATTCAACCTGACACACAATAAAGTTTCAATTACCCCCAATCAGAAAAAACAGTATAATCAAATATAAACAGAAATATTAAATTATAATATTGATTGAAATCTGGTGAATGTAGTTGTGTCTCAATTCAGGGGCTACATTCTTCAGAGGACACGATCTTCGTGGCCAATGAAGACCGCCTCCTCCGTGGGCCGCATAGAACACATGGGCTGTACTGAAATGAGACGGTGGTCTACAGAGGATTTCTGTGATCATCGTCACCAGCTCGTCTTGTCTTTTTTGCTGTTTCCCACCAACAGAGCTGAAGTTGGACACAGTGAGAAAAATGAATGCCCCTTGGATTTTTTTCATGTGTGTACTGTTAGGCGAGAGTTAAAGAGTGATACTCAAATGGTGGCCATCTTGTTTCTTGCCTGTGCCATTACTTCTTTGAAAAACCTGAATCCTGAGATAGGTTGGGCAGAGAGGGATGTGACAGTTGGAGCCTTTGTTTATCGTAAATGGAAGGATGCAATTGTCTGCTGCATTTAAAGGAGCCTTCAAAATGTCTAGTCACACTGCTGTGACACAATCTGTCTCAAAATGCAGCCTCTGAAGGATGCAGCCCCTGAATTGAGACACAGCTTGTGTCTCATAAAACCATTTTGTGACCCCTGATACCCTAATGATTTTGTTATCATTGACATTGTTATCTTGTAACTCCTCATTCTTTGTCATATTTATGTAGCAGCCACAGCAGCTTCACTTGTACCTGGATGGCCTTTGTCGTATGATCTGTACACATTCCCTTACCTGGTCTGCTCCCGTCAATGAATAGGCATGACCCTTCACCAGCTTGCGATAAGTGACAGCTTCTGAATCACTCGCGCTAGTGATCTGGGATGGAGAGGAAAAAGTATTGAGGTCAAAAGTACCAGATCCCAAGAGGACACCAACAACACTCCATGAAAGTAAAACAAGAAACTCAAACAAACATCAATGGAGCATCCCAGAAGGGATCCTCTCTCCAGAGCCTTCTTAATGATTTTGAAGAGATGGGGATCCGCCTTTGTCAGGTCATGCCTCTCAGAAATGCCTCCAGTGAAATCCTCGAAACCCTCAATGGTACTGCCTCCAGAGAGAGCCTCGTAGCATCCATTCAACCTGAAGGGGACAAAAAGGTTTCATGAAGGACTACACCAGAGGAGCAGACCACTAAAACACATGGATTCAGATGTTCTATTCCTCCATACTTGGCATATGCCTTCTCCAGCAGTGCGCTCCAAAACTCGGATCCCTCCTCTGAGTGAACAAACAGCAGCTTTCCATCTTTGGTGGGCAAACGGTCATCGACCACCACATCCACCCACTCACCAAACTGCCAGAACTGAACCACAGAGAAGAGAAGAGAACACAATACATAAAATCCAACCTGTCTGCACCACAAAGAACGCAGCTGTGGTGTGTGTCCAAGTACTGAACCTCGAAGTGAAAGATGCCTGCGTAGTTCTTGTCAAAGCTCTGGTCGTGGGGTACAACCCGAGTCAAAACCTGTTTGTTGAGGGTCAAGGAAGCGATTGCTGCGAGGAGCCAGCAGTCACCTGAACACAAGGTGACAAAGTTATGCAAAATGTGAGTTTGTAGTTTAGTTTGTTTGCTCTCTCTCTCTCTCACACACACACCTCAGCTGTGCACAGTTACTGCTCGCTCACATTCTACACATTTCTCAGCAGCAACAAATACAACTCAGTCTCAACCACACATGTATCCACTCTGCTAGACTGGGTGAAGACAGAGAAGACAGGGGGAGTTGTTGCAAGAGGGAATTCAATGTAAAGTTAGACAAGCAAAAGGATCCAGGATAAGCATGATGACAGTAACGGATGGAAGGAAACATCCACATGACCTGATAATTTGGAGTTGTTGAAGATGGAAATATATGTAAAATAAATACTTGAAATATCTGAATGCATTTCTCACCAAGCGCTCCTTGACAAATGTCAGTCCTGGTGGCATTTTCAAAAATGAATTTTGGATTGGAGCTCAACTCCTGAAAGAAAAGAGGTGGAAATGAACAAAGCAGTTTTTATTTTTTTCTTATTCACTTGAGTTTAGTATTTTTGGGGTCTAAAAAGTATGTTTATGATCACACACATATTAATATTATAAACAAACTGCAGGTTGCAGCTTTTAGGAAAAAAAGAACTTTGCATCTTGGTAACAGGAACTGGCTTTCATCACTGAACAATAGACTGAGTGTAAAAGGAAAGGTGTGTAGGAAAATATGAGGAAAATAGCAAA